CCATGCACACATATATACAAATACGTGTACACACACAAACATACATACACAGTCTCCCCATTAGAATCTTTGTTTTAATATCCCCAGCAACTAGCCCAGTGTTTGGCACTCACAGGTATAAAATAAATGCTTACTGATCAACTGACCAAAGGAGCAGAGCTGGGCATTGACCCAAACCCAATGCTCTTTCCACTGTACTACACAGCTCCCCACCTTAGATCGCCTCCACTTGACACCATTAATGTTAAGAAGTCCCTCGGAATCCAATGGAGAGCTCCATCATGAACCGTTGATGAGGATAAGAATGTCCAGATACCTGAGCAAGGTTTGATAAAATGGCAGGTTGTGCTCAAGACAACTGTGTTGAAAGAAACATGAAAGAAGAGGGGTTCTCACCCATAAAGGAAAAACAGAATAGGAGACTACATACAGAAACAGTGGGGGTGGGGGTGGTGGAGGAAGGGGAGTGATAGGAAAGATGGAGATGGCAGAGTGGAGAAAAGACTGGTAGAAGATCAGAGAATTTCCATCAGTGGCTTTCATCTACTCCATCTTTGGGAAGACTGGAACCTGGTGTTACTCCCCTTCACAACTATATCATCCTTGCTATTCCTCACATTTCATCTGTTGCCTCCATGTTTCTTCATTGGCTGTCCCCCCCATGCCTGGAATGCTCTACCTCTTCACCTTCATCTGTTGGCTTCCCTGGTTTCCTTCAAGACTCAACTTAGATCTCACGTTCTGCAGGAAACCTAAAGTTTTTTACATGGTCGTCTCCCAAATTAGAACATGAGCCCCTTGAGGGCGAGGACTACATTTTTGCCTTTCTTCACATCCCCAGCACTTGGCACCATGCCTAGCATGTATTAAGTGTTTAATAAATGCCTGTTGATTAACCATAATAGAGTGATCACTCTATTTCATTCTCAGGAATGGAAATTTCTACTAATAGTTACAGGGATAGCCTACTTCCCTCTCACCTGAACTAATATAGTAGACTCCTAACTGGATTTCCTAATTAGCTGAAAGTCTCTTCCTTCTTCTTTCATCCTCCACACATCTACCAAAATGATTTTCCTAAAAATGAAGGTCTGACCATGCCACTCCCTTATTCAATAAACTAATAGTTCCCTGTTGCCTCCAGGATAAAATGTAATTCTGGTTTGGCTTTTTAAAACAAACACTTTGGTTTTTCTTCTTTCACAAAAAACTGATGATAAAACAACCTAAATGAAGCCTTCTGCCTGGGCTTGTATCATAAACCCTTCACAATCTGGTCCCAAACCCCTTTAACAGACAAACCAGAAAAAATTGTCTATGCCCACTCCTTCCACATCCTCTCCTCTCACTCTCTTCTCAAGCCTTTACAGTATCTCAATCCTTTGCTGGTTCATCATCTATATCATGCCTACTAACTATGGTGTTACCCCCAGGCTCTGTCCCCGGCCCTTTTCTCTTCTCTTCCTGTAGTCTCTCATTTGGTGATTTAATCAGTCCCATGGGTTTAATTATACTCTATTCAGCTGACTCTCAAATGTATATATTCAGTCTTAATGCAGCTCCTGACCTCTACTCACAAATCTCCAACTGCCTATTAGGTATTTCAGATCAGATATTTTATAGGTTCAAACTCAACACGTCCAAAAGAGAACTTAGAATCTTTTCCCCAAAACCCATCCTCTTCTGCACTTTCCTAATACTGTTAAGGGCTCCACCATCCTTCCTTCCATTAGCAACAGAGATTCACAACCTCTTCTTGATTGGTGACTCTGATTCTCCCCTCATATCTAATCATCAAATCTTGTCATTTCTGCCTCTAATAGCTCTCCTTTCTGTCACTTTCACTCTACTCACACAGCTACCATCTTGCTTCAGTACCTTAATGCCTCTTGCCTGGATTATTGCAGTAGTTCAACTTAACTCCCTACCTCACGTCTCTCCTCTCTCCCAGCCATCAGCTGCCAAAATGATTTTCCTAAAGTATAGGTCTAACCATGTCACTCCCTTACTCAATAAGCTCTACTGGCTCCCTGTTGTTTTAAGGATCAATTATAAATTCCTGTTTGGTTTTTAAAGCCCTCTGTAATCTAAACGTAACCTTTATAGTTATATTTTATAGTTCAGCCCAATGGGACTTTTTGCTGTTCCTTACATGTGACATTCCATCTTCTGTCTCCTTCATTTTTGCACTGACTTTCATCCATGCCTGGAATGTACCTGACCTCTGCCTTTTGCAATCCCTTGTTTCCTTCAAAATTCTGCTCAGGTACTACCTTTTACATGAAGCCTTTCCTGATCCCCCAGCTCCGAGTTGTGCCTCCTACTGCCTAAAAAAATTATATTGTATTTATTCCATATTTACATTGTATATACTTGTGAATGTAGATGTCATCTCCTTGGAGAGAATAAGCTCCTTGAGGGTAGGTAATATTTCATTTTGTCTTTGTATCCCCAGCCCCGAGCAAAGTCTGGCACATAGTTGGTGCTTAATAAGTGTTTATTGACTGGTTGACATTCAAGACCTGAAAATAATAATTGTACCCAATAAGAAACCACCTTTATCCAATATAATATACTTAGCTATAGAGGGTAGATATTGTTACTTAAAGGCAGGGGTAATGAAGAAGAAAAAAAATCAGGCTTTTACCCCTTACCAACTACATTCCTCAATTTTTAACTGTCTTTTCTATGCATATGAATTTGCAGGTGACCTCTCTAGCTCTGACCTCTCACATTCCAGACCCATTTTTGCAAATGCCTGAAGGAAATTTTGACTTCTTATCGTATTTCAAAATGAAAAGGGAACTCAGAGATCGTCTACTTCAGTGATTCTCAAGAGAAAAACAAAAGGTCCCAGAGATTCCTTCAAAGGGTCTGCTTGGTTAAAACTATTTTCATAATACTAAAATATCTGGATTTCTACTATGGTAAATATCAATAGGTACTTACACAAAAGCTCTTTGAGAAAGAGTCAGGTAATTTTTAAGAATGTAAAGGGGTCCTTTCCTCTAACCCTTTTATGTTACGAATGGAGAAATGGAAGCTCAGAATGACTTGCTGAAGGTCATAGAGTTAATTAATGGCATTTAATTAGAGTTTTTCACTGTACCACACTGTGGTCTCAAACTCAACTTAGACCAAACTGAGAGCTTCAAACTAGCTCACGTTTCCTTCCCTGTCCCCCAGAAGCTGCTGATGGGTGCAGATCTGGAGACTGAAGAATTCCACCTGGGGAGTCTACAGTCTGCGAAGGCTTATAATTAGCGCCCGCTCCCCACCAATTTCACCTGTGAAATTCCTTGGCCTAGTATCCAAAGCCTCTCTAATCTAGTTCTAACCTACCCTTGCTGACTCAATATTTCTTAATAGTCTCTCTTCATGTACACCATGTTCTAAACCAAATTAGAAAACCACCTGTTTTCATTTGTCTTCTCCCACCTCTGAGTATCAGTGCACACTGCTCTCCCCGCCTCCCACCTTGACCCACACACACCATGCCTAAAACAGACTCTTTCCCCATCCCCAATTTTAAAAAAATCCTCTCTTCATTCAAGGCCCAGCTTAAGTATTTCCTCATCCATGAAGGTGTCCAATTCCCTTAGCTGGAAAATGATTCCTCCCTTCCTAAATCTCTTATCCTTCTCTATTTGACCTCTGCTATGCACTTGCCACATTCTGACTTGGGTTATACTTACCTTGTTTCCTCTCCATTGGATTGTTGTTAGCTCCTCAAGGCAGGAGATGGTGCCATTTACATCTTTTTTTTTGCTCACACAGTGCCCTGTATATAGTAGGCACTTAATAAATCTTTGTTTCACTGCACTGAAGAATGTCTCTGATTCACCTTATCCTTTCTACTTCCATTTCCAGCACTATGGTTCAGGCTCACCACCTCACACTTGGCTCAATGGAACACAACAGCATTCTGGACCCTGTTAATTCTAGTTTTTATTCCCTCCAATTCATCCTACCTACTGCTTCCATGCTAGTCTTCCTAAAATAACACCTTTTTTAAAAAATTATTTTATTTTTAATTTATGGAATAAAACAAGCATTTCTATAACAGGATAATAAATATATTTATAATATATAAATATAATAAATAAATTTTAAAAATGATTGCACTTGAAACTGTAAACCTATCATGTCAATCCCCTACTTAATACTCTACAATGGCTCCCCATATGGTTTTCAAAACCCGCCACAGTCTGGTACCACCTAAGCTGTCAACTTATTTACCAGGCCTCAGGAAGGCCTTCCCCTACCAATCCTTTCTCTGTGTCTTTGTCTGTTAGTGCTTCCTACCTGGAATGCTCTCTTTCTTTCTTTTTTTTTGGTTAGGCAACGGGGTTAAGTGACTTGCCCAGGGTCACACAGCTAGTAAGTGTTATGTGTCTGATGCCGGATTTGAACTCAGGTCCTCCTGAATCCAGGGCCGGTGCTCTATCCACTGTGCCACCTAGCTGCCCCCAAATGCTCTCTTTCTTGTCCTTTGCTATCTTAATCCTCTTCAATATTCAAGGCTTACCTCTTCCAAGACGTCTTTCCAGCCTACTCTAACCCACAATAAGCTCTCCTTTTTTTGAATTTCTAATGCACAAAATAGTCCTAGACAATTTAGCACCAGATTATATACTTTTTGAGGATGGGGCCTAAATATCATACTTTTAAAAATGATGCCTAGCACAATCCTGGGATGATAACATACAGCTTGTTGGTTGATTGACTGATTAGAGGTCTGAGGGGTAGCTTGAATTATTTTCTATTATTTTACTGTTGTAGAAGGGCCTGTAGGAAGAGAAAAAACAATGTTCTCTTGCCCTTGGCAACTGTAGTACCATGGATGAGCACTGGGTTGGAATTGTTTTCTAAAGTAGTCTAGGCCTGACTCCATTCATAGAATTAATAGCTCCACCGAGCTGGCCATACCAAAAAAGAAACAGAAATGGGATCCCATATGAAGAATGGGGTAGGGTAGGGAGAATATATGTTGCTATTACCACTCTGGCTTCCTCCAATGGAGTCACTTGATGCCAGTGGAGGTGGATGTGGCTTATCCATCAGCATGGCAGAAGAGGAGACCCCTCCAACAGGAACAGAGGGAATGTAGTAAGGACCAGGAACACTGGAGACAGAGGGAGGATAGCCAGCCTTGGCAGCTTTCCCTGCTTCATATACTGCGAAGAGAGATAAGAAAAGTAAAGACTATATTCCCAACTAACTCCCCACAACCCTCACTTCAAACAACACACACACACACACACACACACACACACACACACACACACACACA